TTTTCCACTTACTCTCTTCCCTGCTCAGAAAGAACGTAAACGTATTTCACAACGATTTGCCTTTGGTGTTATTTCTGCCCCGTTTCTACAACTCGTGCTTGGCAACACCGAGTGTGGCTGCGTAAGCAAAAGGAGGAAAAGACAGAAGGAGAAGACAAAGACTCGACTCACTCAGCAGCTCGAGATTCCGAAACAACGAGCACGTCACCAAACTGACGAGCTCTTTTGCCTTTGGTTCCATTTTGCAGTATTATTAACAAAGCAAGAAAGAAAAGATAAGGATGGAAAGATTTAACAAAAGAAAACGACAGGCTTTCAGAGAATTTTTCTTAGTTTCTTTTGTCTCCTGAGCCGTGTTTGCTGTAATCAGACTGCAGGTTGAACAAGGAGAAAAGTGGAGCCTTCCAAACTGGGAAATTGAGAAATTTATGTTCATCAATGAAGGTGGAGAAACCACACTGCTGCCGCGATAGTTCCATTGGGAAGTACATTCGGCTGAAGATCTCAAAATTCACAGATTAATTTCCAGTTTTGTTCTGTCTTTACTCTTACCCGAGAATTGGACTTAAATAGACGACTCAGATGATTTACAGAAGTAATTTTACCTAAGAGAGTTGCGCCCTCTACCGGAAAGAAATTTTCCAGACGCTTGTCAGTGTGGTCCTTGGACCAAAAGAGCTAGTGGCACCTGAGATGTTGTTGCAAATGCAGAATGTCAGCTCCAACCCAGACCTACTGAACCAGACCAGCATTTCAACAGGATCCCCAAGTGATTCCTTTGCACATTAAAGATTGAGAACCACCGGTTTGAGTGCTGTAACGTGGATCAAGAGGGCATATATTATAAACATATAGCTGTATTTAAAAATTTTCCAATTTCCTATTCCAATGTAGAAAAAAATAATCAAAAAAATGTATTTCTATTCCTGAACCATTTTTGCATTCTAATCTGACATTGTTGCCCCTCCTTGACAATATAGTTTTAAATATTTTTTGAATCAATATACACAATTGAATTTGATGTGACGTTTCTTTTACTTTTTAATAAAAATTTTGCAAGTTTTGCAATCAAGACCATGCTAACTTCCAGTATGAACTGGGAAGTTTGTATCTTTGTTTCCACTCGGTAACATTTTAACCAGGATAAGATCTTTCCCAAGTTAAGATGTCTTGGCTTTGGGATTTACTTCCTCAAAGAAAGATTCAGAACTAGTTCTCAGGAGCCAGACTTTCCTTAATGGGAGCAATAGGTCATTTTATGTTCTGTTGACATATTTTCTCTCTCCTTGTTTTCAAAATATAGTTTCACAATGTCTTTTTGCCACTTATACCCACTGTGTCAGGAGAAAAGTATTCACATGCTCCAGCTGTGGGAATTCATCAAGTTGCAAAAGGAAAATAGACAAAATATGAAAAAGAACATCATAAATTATCACCATTATTTTTCTGTATTATATTAGGCCTCAGGCCCAATGGAAATTTTTTTCCCTTGCAACCATAGACTTCTCCAAGGAAATCTACCTCTGTAACTTACGGGAGAAGCGAAAAGCTTAGGATGAGAAAGCCACAGGATGGAAATTTCAAAAAATTATATGTCAAAAAAAAAAAAAAAAAACATGTGACAAACTGAGGTACTTCTTTGAGATCCAGCTGTGTATAACTTTGACCCAGGACAAGAAAGACTCATTTTAAAGTACATTGTAGAGGAATTCTGAAAAGTCAACTACGTTTTATTTTGGAGTTCTATCCTTCAACAAGCTCATCTTTTGTTTATCTTTCTTCAGGGAGAAATTAAAGATTAAGGAGCTCTGAGGGAAAGGGGATGTGGCCATGTGTGTGAGACCGGTGAGAATGTGTGAGAGGTGGCAGTTGGGCAGGACCATTGGCTGCACAGAAATGTGGAAACAGACACTATCCATTAGGCCATGCAGTCATTCTCACTCAAAAGGCAGTACTTTATTTTTGCAAAGACATATTTAATAGGAGAAAAATGATTGCTTCATCTTTTACTGCCGACTTTGGGAACAGTTTCTTCATATTCAATTGAGGTGGGAGGTTAGAGCAATATAACTAAAACTTCCTGTCCATATCAACAAATTGAGATGCTGTAAACACCAAAGAAAATCATGAATGTGAATTCAAATTCCAGAGCATAACATAAAAGCTCCTCATGTGAAAACTTCACCCCTTTTCATCTGTCAACTTTGTGTGTGTGTGTGTGTTAGTTAACACCTCTATCGCGTCATATAATTATAATTTCTTCTAGTGGTGGGAACTATTAAGATCTAGTCTCTTAGAAGTTTAATGTTTATAATACAATTTTGTTATCTGTAATCTTTCTACTGCATACTAGATTTCCATGACTTATTTATCTACTAGTTGCAAGTATGTACCCTTAAACAACATCTCTCCCATTCCCCCACCCTTCAGGCTTTGGTACCCACCATTCCACTCTCTATTTTTTCCAGTTCAGTTTTTTTTTTTTTTTGGATTCCACACATAAGGGATATCATATGGTATTTCTCTTTCTCTGTCTGACTTATCTCACTTAGCATAATGTCTTCAAGGCCCATCCATGTTGTAGCAAATGACAAGATTTCCTTTTTTCTCACCGTTGAATACTATTCCATTATATGTATATACTGCATCTTCTTTATCCCTTCATCCTGGTCTGTCAACTTTTTAAAAATGGCACCCAACCAGTTACAAATTTCTTTCTGGTCTTAGAGGCATTAGAAATGCACTTCATATGTCTGCAGATTTCCTGAATAGAGTAATTGGGTATGAATGGGTTCTATCACCCAAGATAAATGGTTCTGTCATCAGAAGAATCTTATATATTTGGAACTCATCCTACTATTTCCCCATGAGTAGATATTTCAAGCATACTGTGGACAGAGAGTCTGAATGCTATCACAGAAAATTAATAAACAATTTTGGTGTTCAGTGTATGTTAGGGCAAACAGAAACAAAACACAACCTCTGTATGAGGAGCTTCTGGTAATCTAACCGGGAGCTAGGTTTCTCCAGGCGAAATTTAGAGGATAATTATTTGATAACTCAGGAAACTTTCGTAATTGTGCTCTCACACCATCAAACAGCCTAGACAATTTCCCACTCATCCTCTCAGCACTTTCACACACACACACACACACACACACACACACACACGCACACGCACACACACACACACACCAGACCTTGCAGACTTTTGTGAGGGCCACTTCTCTAGAGCTCAGTTTCACTGAAACCTGCCACTTCTGTTTCCTGCTATCTATTCTACCAGCCCTATGAGCCAACTGAAAGAGAAACGCTGCCAAAGCGATAAGGTTCTCTCAACTTCAAAAGAGACTCAATGATATACTTACTGATATAGGCAAAGACATAGATGAATGAGGAAGAGATAACAACTACTAGGAGTCTAGTATCAGGAAATGAGTTTTTCAGGGTCTCATATGGAAGTTTCAAGGTCATGGTGCTAACCAGTGTGAATCCTAGGGCTCAAGATCAGTCTAGAAAGAAGTTCATTTTTTTGCTTTACACAACTATCTGTAAGTGAGTTCCTGATCTCTAAATCTCAAAGGACACTTTCAGTTCTCATTCTATGCACTCTCTATATACTTGTGCCTTCTGATCACTCCCATCTCCAAGTATTCAGATCAGACTACTGGGCTGAGTTCACTGTGCTACATTGACAGGTGGGATCCTATAGATAAATATTTTAGATTCAACATGTCTAAAACAAAACCCCTCTCTTTCTCCTAATCTCTCTTACAATCTCCCACAGAACAATGAAAACAATGGCAAATCTCTCTTTTTGGCTTTTCCTCCAGTTGAATGACTGGGCTATTTTTTATGCTCCTGTCAGTGACGCCTAAAACAGTTGAGATAAATGCAGCCAAGGGTTAACATAAGTTAGCATAAGGGGAGCCCTGTTGAAACTGTGCCAGACCCTGATTCACCAAACCTCCCCTTAGCTCCAGTAATGCTTTAGTTTGCAGTAGCCTAGATAAGCAAGCACTTGCTCCCGGAGACATAACGCATGCTCTACTATTTTCCTAGCCCTGGCTTAGTCATTAACTTCCCTGTTGTGATAGGGCAGTAACTTTGTTCTTTAAGTTTTCTCAGGAAGGTAACGACCTTCGGGAAAGAGCCCTATGCCGATATCCAACACCAGTGACAGAAAAAAAGAGATGAGCTAACGTCTCAAGGTCTACTACACCAGATGGTCAACATTTCAAGACTCCCTTTTTCAGCCCATTTGCCCTATACAAATGTTTCAAGATTTTGTAGCTGTAAGACGGGTTTTTTTTGTTCGGATATTAGTCCAGTCATCTTCCACTTGCTAGCAAGCTGCAGCTAAAAAACCCTTCTCCCTCACCACCCTGCCTCTCGAATGTTTGCCTTTTCCTGCGGCGAGTGGACATACGCTTTGGCGGTAACACTCTCACTTTCCTTATTGCTCTACAAATCCAACAGGTCTCTTCAACCTATGTCTAGCTACCTATTAACTTGATTTCAAAATTCCGCACTTCTTTCCATCTCTGAATCCGCTGTTTAGTTTATGCCTTGAGCATTATTCTCCTGGACTATTTCACAAACCTTCTTAGTTGCCTTCAGGCTTTAATAAAAATGAATAGATCCTTGATAATGAATTGGGAACAAATTGCCTTTGGTTTTTATTCTCACTTCGGGTTTTCCCATCAAAATCTTGCCCCTAACATTCCTGTGGCGCAAACAGCAAATAGTGTTTTATCCAGGGAAAAGCTGATCAATTTTCTGACGCATGTTTTCAATATTTTGTGTTTCATTTTAAGCTTTGTTTGTTGAAAGAATCAGTATCACCCACAGCACCCTGGGGTCTTCTATCTTAAAGCTGTTGCAAATCCTGTTCCTACACCCAACTCTGCTGAAACAACAAACAGGAATTGGGAGGAGAGGGGCCCACAGAATATAGGAAGATATTTCCTGAAAAACCGCCACAGTGAAGCTGATGGGAAGGGGGTGTAGTTCAGTGGGAGAGCGCATGCTTTGCATGCATGACGCCTCAGGTTCGACTCCTGGCACCTCCAAGATACAGATTCTGTTGGTTTCTTTCCATAGCCTGCTCATGAGAGAAGTAAACACGTGATCCAAGATGTTCATTTTAATGCTACACTATTTAAACTTCATGAGGCTCAAAACCGCTCAAGGCAGCTTGCAGAGTAGACGTTTACATAGTCTATTAGTTTCTGACGGTAGTTGGAACAAATTACTACAAACTCGGTGGCTTAAAACGACAGAAATTTATTCTTTCACCCTTCTGGAGGCCAGAAGTCGGAAATGAGTATATCACTGGACCAAAATCAGGGTGTTGGCAGAGCAATGCTCTTTCCAGAGGCTCTCTGGAAGAATCTGTCCTGCCTCTTCCAGCTTCTGATGGCTGCCAGCATTCCTTGGCTTGTGGCAGCATCACTCCAATCTCTGTCTCCATGGTCATATTGCCCTCTCTGTCTGTGTGAAATCGCCCTCTGCCTTTCTTTTATAAGGACACGTGATTACATTGAGCCTACCCAGATAATCCAAGGTAATCTCCCCTTTCAAGATCCTTAGTGTAATCATGCCTGCAAAGACACTTTTGCCATATAAAGTAACATTTATGGGTTCCAGGGATTGGGACCTGATATCTTTGGGAGCCATTATTCAGCCTACTTCATATAGGATTCCCTAAACTCAAAACAACAAGTGTGCCACCATATTAACAAACTTGTCATCTTGGCTTCTATTTTCCACTATTATTGAGAGATGGAAAAACAGGAAAAGAAGAAGAAAATAAGAGGCCTGAGGAAAAATTGCTTTAGTTTCCTTCATTTTCTGTGAGGTTTTTAGGACAAGGAGCCAAAAGTCTTCCCTCTGATTTCTCTACTTATCTTTTCTCTCCATCGCCAAAAGTTTGGTTCAACAATAAGCTAGAGAATACTAGGTGAATGAGTGGGTGGATGCTACCATAAAACGACAGCTGTCAAAAAGCTAGAGTCCTGCCAAACATGGGGAAAAAAAAGAATCTGCTTTAAATGACTCAGACACCCTATATGTGCCGAATTGCTATTCCTTAATATCCAATTTCCTTTTATTTTGTCACTCATCTCATTTTTCCTTCTTTTAAAATCTATAAAGAAAGTTAACATCAAATATGCTACTAAAGAAGTAGCAAAAAAAATTTTTGGGTGTGTGTGTCAAAACAGAAATTATAGCTACCAAAACAAGAAGACAAATAATTCACAGATGTCGAGGACATTTTTACTGTAGTGAATGAACAGCCGTTTTCTCTAATGTTTCCTGTCCATACAATCACATCTGCTTTGTATTTTCCAGGTACTCCTCAAAATTTATAGATCACTGACTGCCCCATTAAAGGGCTGTTATGGTTTCAAATCTATCACTGTCTGTGCCCATCTTTACCGCTGAATAATAGAGAGGGAAGGGAGTCTGTCTCCCAACCTCACTCTTTCTTTCTGTACCAGGGCAGCCCCTCTTCACCTCCCAGCTCTGAGAAAGAGATTCAGTCTCGTTCAAATGTCCTTCATTGATTAACTCGAAAGCAAGGAGTGTGAAAGGGAAATAGAGTGAAACACCTGCTAAACTCTAATATCAATTGGGAAATTGGCATCTTTGTCTCTGCTTAGCAACATTTTAAATAGGGTGGGAACCACTTGAGATGTACATACCGTCCAAATCTTGACATCATTTCAGAACACCATGTTGCCTCTCCCTCAATAACCAAGAATGATAGAATATATATGTATATATTTTCTGACAAACGTTATTGTTTTCCTGAACTATTTGAGAACAATTTACAGACATTATATCTTTTTATCTGCAATTTTTTTATTATACACTTCCATCATAATCTTTTTTTTTTTTTTTTTTTTTTGCTGAGGAGGATTCGCCCTGAGCTAACATCTATTGCCAGTCTTCCTCTATTTTGTATGTGAGCTACCGCCACAGCATGGCACTGAGACAGTAGTGTAGGTCCGCGCCGGGGAACCAAACATGGGCCACCGAAGCAGAGCATGCCGAACTTGACCACTAGGCCACTGGGGCTGGCGCTCATAATCTTTTTGTTATACACTTTAGTATACGTTTCTTAAGAGCAAGAACATTTCCTTACCACAGCACAATGATCAAATTCCTGAAATTTAACACTGATAAAATAGTATTATCTAATATACAGACCATATTAACTCTAACTAATTTTACCAATAAAATTGTTGATAGAAATTTCTCTCCCAAACGAGTGTCCATTCCAGGATCACTTATGAATTTAGTTACTCTTTAGTCTCCCTTAATTTGGAACCTTTTCTCAATCCTCTTGTCTTTCTTGAGATTGATATGTTTTTGAAGAGCACATGCTAATGATTTTGTAGGATATTCTTCAATTTATGTTACGATTAGACTAGATTTAGGTTATGAATATTTGGGAGGAATATCACACAAATGATGTTATTTCCCTCTGTCACACCAGGAGGCATGTGATGTCAGTTTTTCACATTATTAGTGATAATAACTTTGATCACTTGGTTAAGGTTGTGTCTACCAGGTTTCTTTCCCTATAAAATTATCATTTTCCCCTTTGTAATTAATAAGTAATCTGTAGGGAAATACTCTGAGACTATATAAATATCCTGATCCTCATCAAAATTTTACTCATGTTTTTTGCATTGATTTATGAATTTTGCCTGAGTCTATCATTATTCTGATGGTGATCAAATGGTGATTTTTCTAACTTTACTATTACTTCTACATTTATTAGTTGGCATACCACTGTAAGGAAAACTTTCTCTTCTTTCATGTTTATTCATTTAAGTATCCAAGGATTATAATCATTTGTTGTCATTACTCATGCTCAAATTTTTCCAGATTTGACCAGTGAGAGGCCCTTCAAGCTGGCTTTTGGATCCTTTTGAATTGTCCCCATCATTTTTGAGGACCTATATTCTAGCACACAAAAATATCTTAAGTTCTTCTGGTACTTTTCCCGGTCCTGGAGTCAGTGACTTCTACAAGTAGTTCTGGTTCCCTTTAGTGGGGAATGGTATTTAAAACTCCAGATATGGGGCTGGCATTGCTTATCGCTACTAAGGTATTGTTTCTTCTAGCCCCTGTTAGTAGACAGATCTGGGGGAAAAATGACAATTTTATATATATGTATATAATTTTATATATATGTATATAATTATATATATATGTATACACACACACACATATATATAATTTCATCCTGATGCCTCTAATTCCTATCCAGAGCTACCAGAGTTATTCCTTACTTACCTCCTTCTCTTACAGCAAGAGCTGTGATTTCCAACATCAATATATATATATTTGTTTTCCTGGTCACACAAAAGTAAATTCAGACACATACAAATAAATAAAATTCACACAAAGTATCAGAATTGCTATACCCTTAATACTACAAAATATAACCCTGCTACATAGAGATTAAGATTTGTTTGCTTTTTTTTTTTGTCTTTACAATTAGGACAAAATACTGCATAAAACGTTTACTTGGATCTGTTCTTTCTTTTTCTCTTCAATGTGGTTATGTTATCCTTTTGAAATGCAGTTAGATTTGCTTCTATTTGTATTCAATTTTAGAACATTTTCACACACACTTGAGTCAGTCTTATCTTTTTGACTACATAAAACATTAATGTATCCAAAGGTCAGAAGAATACAGAAAGTAATATTGAGAAAAATTGCCGGAGAATGTTGTATCCCGGACTCACCCAAGAACGGAAGTGCGCTCCAGGCAATCTAATCTGATGGGAAGCAGACTTTGAGGCGCGTTGATCATGAGCTGCCCGTGAATCAGGAACAGTGCCTTTCTTTCTACCATTAAGGCGCCTTTCTCCTGGAGTAGCCATGCCTAAGAGAGGGTGTAGTGTAGGGAGTTTAAAAACAGCAGAATTGAACTTAAGGTGGCTTTGTTTCAATGACTTAGCCCTCAAAGACAGACAATGGCAGCCATCTAAGGGTCATAAGGGTCTTCCGAGTTATGAGCCCCAATAAGGGGGTATAGCTCAGTGGTAGAGCGCGTGCTTAGCATGCACGAGGTCCCGGGTTCAATCCCCAGTACCTCCACTTCTTCGCTCTTCCTTGTTCTCCTCTTCACTCTCACAGCCAAGATCTCTCGGTACCTGAAGCATTGTTGTCAAACTGAGTTCTGGCTGCGACGGTTCTTTAACCTCTTTGGGACACAGGCAGGCAATTGTGCTCACTCACTGAAGTTATTTGTTGTTAGCTCTATCATTCACCCAAGCACTCTCAGCAATCCCTGGCACATGAACCACCGTCAATAGGCTATAGAAGCCAGTTGCGGTTTTCTCAACCACCCAGTCAGTTTCCAGTTGTACGGAATCTGAAAGTATAAGAAAATGTGGGTCTGTGTGGCATCATACATCATAATGGAAAAGCCATCTGATTCCGGATCAGAAAGTTAAGAACTCAAGCTCTTTTGTGGTTCTTTTATTCTAGCTCCTTCCTAACCCAGGTTGCGGAAGGCTTAGAAGCTTTCACTAAAATATTTCACTAGATTTCCCTGCCAGTTGTTGACAACTTGACATGCTGGTGTTCACTTTTTCACTCAGAGACCATCAAACTCTGGAGCTTACATAAAAGCCATTTAACTACAAACATATGACAAATGAGGAAAAGATAGCAGTCACCTCAGCTGAAATCTGATGGCGGGAAATAATACTTCTCTGGGTGTTCTAAGGAAATTTCTGGTCTGAAATGGCAAACATGCTGAACTCTTGGGTCCAAGATCAGTCTAGGGGAAAGCTCATTTCTTTGCTTTCCCCAAATAAAGAATGAACTTTGATTCTCCCAATCCCAATAAATCCTTTTCAATCTCTATTTACTCTCCAGGGACATCCTCCTTCCAAACTACTGAAGGATCCACATCTGCAGATCAGAGCTCTTTGCAGAGTTTCAGATTCTGATATGACAAACCTTAAGCAGAAATCCACAGGAGGATACACTGCAAGCATCTTAATACTGTCTTGCTTAAAAAAAATCTACCTTTGTTTTCAGT